GTAGTAGTATAAGTAGTAAGTAGTAAGTAGTAAGTAGTAAGTAGTAAGTAGTAAGTAGTAATTAGTTAGTTAGTTATATACTTAGTTAGTTTGTTAGTTAGTTACAGTAGTTAGTTAGTAAGCAAGTAAGTAAGTAAGTAGTACTGTAGTAGTAGTCGTAGTCGTAGTCGTAGTCGTAGTCGTAGTCGTAGTCGTAGTCGTAGTGTAGTAGTAGTAGTAGTAGTAGTAGTAGTAGTAGTAGTGGTAGTAGTGGTACTGGTGGTAGTGGTAGTGGTAGTAGTGGTAGTAGTGGTAGTGGGCAGTAGTAGTCGTCCAGCAGGTAGGCAAACCACATCCTTGAAATAGACATGTTGCATTGCGTATGCTCCGCATATGCTGCCCCTTGGCGTGTTTATATAAATATCCTATCGCATTGGTGCATACAGTATCAGTATATTTTATCATATTTAAACTATTTTATCATATGTCTAAACCTCCTCTCACAGTCTAAGTTCTAGTCATTTTTGGAAATGGACCGTCTATGCCGTCTATGCCCTTGTCTCAGAATACCTCTGCAGTTTTTTTGCACGTGGTTTGGCCACAAGTATCCTTTTGTCCGTACCACTGTCCATCCTGCTTTTTGCAAGTAACAAGAAACTATTAGAGTGGAGGCCATCACTGTTAGGTTGGAGGTCATCGCTACTAGTAACCATACAGTTTGTTTTTATGTCTTTGAAGTTTCTTAAGTGAATGCACTGCAAGGCCTGGCCCATTTCCTCGCCTCCTGTGGTCGCTGCACAGAGGTGCTGCATGCAGAACTGATTGTCGGCAGGTCCCAAGTGCATGCTCTGTGCATGCTGCTCATGTGGCATGCTTGCATTGTGTAGGCTGCTCTACTGGAACTGCAAGCGGACCAACTGGGCAGGCCAGACTTGAGATGCCCACACATGAACTGCGAGCCAACTGAGTTTTATACTTATATAATGAATATATATTATATGCTACCGCAAGATTTATTTTTGTCGAGAGTCTTTCAAGTAGCAGTGCGGAGTTTCTACGAGTTTCTGACATGCTTGCTCAAGCTTGCTGTGTATGGTCCTGTAGCCTGTAGCTTGGCCGTAGAATCTACTGAGGCGCAGATGCACTTCATCGTTCCCTCATCAAGTTCATCAAGCATCAAAGATGTTTGCAGACTGAAACTTGCAGCGCATATGCCAGCATTTGCAGAGCATTATAGTGGCTGGAAAATTGCTGGAAATTGGTCCTGCAAGTTGCGGGAAGGCTTGAGTGACGGTAGGCAAGATTCTGTCAGGTTTGGAGATGGCAAAATATGAAATGAAGTTGACCAATTGTTGCCTTGCGCTCGATGATCCCGTTCAGCCTTCAGGCTGAAGTCACTAGCCATGGGTGGCAAGCCGCATGGTTTGTGGTGCTTCCGTGCGCAGGTGATGGGTGTCAAAAAATTTGTAGCTACTGCAGTGACGCGATTGGTGTACAGTACTCGTAGCGCTTCTCATGGAAAATATTTGCCGAATCTAGGAACCTCAGAGAATGCCTGTTCTTGATATTGTTTTGGCTCCCTCAGCTGTAGCCCGGGCTGAGACTTAGCCTTGGTCCTCATGTGAGCGCTGCAGCATCCCAATGTTTTCATCCAGTAGAGGGATCAGTCGAAGACTCAAGCCCCTCAGAGGCTGGATCAGACCATTCCAAGCTGCAGTGCTTTTATGGCACTGTGGATCTTTAGCGGAATCTTATCCTCCAGAAGAACTCATCGGTGGGTTATCAAGAGTTCAACCTGAGTCGGAGGCTTTCTTGCAGCAATCGAGCTCCAATCCTTCCATCAGCCATGCTGAAGTCAAACGCGTGAAACCAGGTCGAAGGTTGCAGATTGCATTCAACAACAAGGAGAACGATCATCAACTAGAGCAAAGCCAAGAAGAAGTGGTGTATTGTGAGATGGATTTGATTGCAGACTTCCCCATGGGTCTCGTTGGAGAAGCTGCCCTTCTACTACAGCGGGCCATTCAAATTGTTCTCAATCTTCGTGAATACGCAGTTCAACTGCTTCCTGGCTTCTCTTCCCGTCCTGATACTGTCTCCAATATTTTTGAATTTTCATTTGCAGTTTTGCCCCCGAAGGGAGGCAGCGAAGATATCGCCTACATGCTGCGAAAGGCCTCAGAATCAGCCATCCTTGTAAAATTCAAAGAGCTGGTCTTGTCAAGCCAGGCAATGAAAGATCAAGTGCAAGTCAGCGATGGCTGGCTCTTGGTCATGCCAATTCCGGAAGTGAAAGAGGAGACAGTTAGAAGGCCTGTTTCTTTTGAAACGTGGACTTCAACGCCAGAGCCCCTGCCTTACATCCCACGAATCACAACTACTGAAGCCCACACAAATCCTCAGGACTGCGCCACCATTACGTCTCCTTGTGAATGCGCTGGGGTTTCTGCATGTGAATGGGCCAAGATCAATGATCAATACCGCTGTCAGCGGGGCAATGGTCGTGTTCCTTGTACTGCATGTGACTCGCAGCAGGAATGCCAAGCTCTGACATGTGGTGGACTGACATCGGCCTGCCTGTGTGCATTCTCGCCCTTGAAGTGCCATTGGGACTCTACGAAAGGCTCATGCTTCGAGGGAGATGGTACAACCAGATGCAGTGCATGTGCAAGACAGTCGCATTGTCGACCACCTGAGATTGTGTCCTTTGTTCCAGCGGCTGGGACGCAGCTGACCCTGCCCCAACACAAAGACCTGCAGATTGACTTTGATCGAACTGTCACTGTCAAAGAGACAGGAACGACTTCCTTCACCTGCAGTGAGCAGCCCTTGCCCTTTTACGTACCATGGAGCGACATTCAACTCAGTCTAACAGGAAAAGGAATACGGATCAGCATCTCCGTATTGTTGAAAAGCAACTTTAAAAGTACACGTGAATGCACTTTGGAGATTGGTTATGGGGTTGTTGTAGACAATGATGACGTGCCCTTCACGGGTTTGGAGAAAGGTCTCTATAGTTTTTCACTTGGAGATACAGTTCAGCCCAATGTCAGATCCTACACACCGCCGAATGGCGCATCAGATGTCGTACCTGGAAGCTCTGTGACATTTGCCTTCGACGAGGACATAAAAGTTGTTTCTCAAAAGGGTGTCATTGTACTTTACGAAACCAGTGATGATAGCTCTGCCTCTTTGTTTGAAGGGGCGGTGGCGTCATTTCAGATGTCATCGCCGACCGTAGCGGTGAAGGACCGTGAGATAATTGTGGACTTGTCTCAATTGACCAAGGGAGATTTTGAGTATTCCCTGGGTTTGCCAAACGACGCCATTGCTGACACTTCTGGCAACTTATTTCCTGGTATACCAGCAGGTTTCTACACCTTTCGAACCAGGAGTACGCACGTAATTGAGAGTGGTGTACTACCAGGATTTGAAGAAAACTATCCTTTGATTTTGGCAGGTGGAGGTGGCCTACTAGTTGCTTTGGGGGCCTTGATCACGTGGCGACTATGCCGCTTGAAAAGCCATGCTAAAGCCAGAAGCATCTACCCTGAGACATTGCCATCGCATGAGAAGGAACATTTGGATTTTGACGGATCTGGGACAACTTTGAGCTTCGATCAGACAGAAGCAGACAACTCATCGACGCGTGATTCTAGTGGTCGAAATTGGGCTCAAAAGGCCAGATCCTCAGTTGCTTTTGAACAGCATGCAGCCTTTGTGGGGCAGTACTGGTAGTAGCCATTCTGACTGAACTTGTTTAGTTCTTTGGCTTTTTCTGAACATGGGGCCAGGATAAAGGAGTATTGTTTGGTTCGAGAGGCCAAAGCCATTGGAGGTGCCTCTCAAAAGAACATCCAAACACGCTGTTCTTTCTGACATTTTGTAAGACACTTGTTTTCCTCCTTCATTCTGGACAATCCACAGAGATTCCAATGCGGCGCTCTCCTTATTGCTTTGATGGAGACCAAGATATTCCAATGACTCGGGTTTTTTCTTGCAGCTATCGGAGGAAGAACAAAAACTCGATTTCAATAATATGCAATGAGCCTTGTTTTGCCTTACAATAACGTTTCTGTCACTGCATGCCTTCCACGGCTTAAGGTCAGATCAGCAGAAAGTCCCAAAGCGCAGTGGCAGAGTGCCTATGTCAAGGCATCTATTGCCAAGAATGGCCTTGCTGGCGCGGGTTCTGCAGCTGCTACTCTCGGCCGAAAGTCTGCTGGTGGAAACAATACGGCCAGGCCGACAACACCAAGCGGTTCAATTCCAACGATAGGGGAGTTTCAAAGCAAAGCTTACAGTAAACGTTCTGCCTCTTCTTACAGCAATCTCGGTTCCGGAACCAGAGAGAATCCATCAAACTCAGGCAACCACTCACATCAGTCTGGTCAGTCCAGACACAGCAGCTCTTCAGCAAAAACACCCACGAACAATACAGACTCAGCAACAGACTTCAGTGCTGACAGTGCTGAAGTCAAAGAGAAGAAGATGGTGGTCGAACGAAAGTTGAGAGACTTGATGGACAAACCCCTTGCAGAGAGGAAGAAGGTCCTCCGGCAAATGATCCTAGAGTACCATCCTGACAAGAGCTCAGACGAACATGCCAAGGAGGTTTTTCAGTTCATCAATGCATCACGTGCATGGTTCTTAGCAGAAGCGTAGTTTGCCTCGTTCAGGTAGGAACACCTTGGGTTCCTACACTGCGCAACAGTCCTAACGTTGTGCAAAAAATCGTTGTGCGCAAAAAAGCGGCAGCTGTTTGCCAGGCTTTGCATTTTTTGAACAACATGGAATTGGCCAGCTGTGAAAATGGATGCGTAGCTCGTCCACACCAGGGAGAGTGCCAAAGCACAGTGTGAAGTACGGCCTGGGGCCTCAGCAGCTGTCAGGTAGTGCTTGGTGTTTCCAGGCTTAAATAGCTAACAAAGCCATGCATGTTTTCATTATTGCGCATGGACGCTACTAGGGGCTCCTGGCATCGCTACTAGGAGCAAGGACGCTACTAGGGGCTCCTGGCCATACTACTAGGAGCAATGTTCGCTACTAGGAGCAAAGAAGCTACTAGTAGTAGTTTTTTCTTTTGGAGCATGGACCACTCTCGCTCACAAGAGGTTACAATCCTCAAGCCGAACAGTGAGCGTGACCCTTTGTCCCACCAACGACTCTACATCCATATGCAGGATTCAGAAACCACTTGGTCTAAAACTCAAGCCGTCTCTAGCATCTGGCAGTTGACATTTTGGACGCACTATTTACACAAACAACCTGATAAGATAACATCACACATACAAGTGGTAGACGTTTCACTGCCGATGAGAAAAGCTCATCTCGGGCTCCACTTGGAGCCAGGAAGGCAAACCTTCCAAATGTGATCAAATGTGCATAGTGGCACCATGAGACCATGAGACGTCAAAGATGCGTCTAGGTGCCAGCGGCCTCACAACGAAGGCATTGCAAATGCACCCATTCACGACAAAGTCGTGGAGTCAGACAAATGCCGACTGCAGTGACCGTAGACTCGCCTACTTCCCGATTTCAGTGTCAGCTTCAAGATTGGCTTTGGCAATCTCTTCACACGCAGGTTACATGTTGGTGGAGCTCGAACAGCATTGTTTAATTGGCTATTCGCCAAGTCACAAGGAGGTGAGATGGTCTTGCGAGTTGAGGCAGGCCGTGAGAAGACAGGAGTTCACTCAACATGTTGCTGAGAATATCACCAGTGTAGAGAGAGAGAGAGCTTTTGGTTTCGCGAAATAAACACTGTCATTCACAATGTAAGAGTGTGGAGCTCATATTAAAAAAACAAATGGTGCTAAAATATTGCTGGAGACAGCCCTCAGCCGGCGTGAGTTGCTTTTGGTTGTATTGCAGGGGGACCTGCTAAGCCGTTACAATTGAACCTCTAGTAGCTTCTTTGCTCCTAGTAGCGAACATTGCTCCCGGCCAGCAGCCCCTAGTAGTGTCCTTGCTCCTAGTAGCGATGCCAGGAGCCCCTAGTAGCTTCTTGTTCCTAGTAGCTTTGTTTTGGGAAATATAGTGTTCGAATCCTCTTCAGCCTCCTGTGCCCAAATGCCAGGACACCGATATAGCTCGCTCGACAAAAGAGTCAGAAGCTGCAATCCTGGAGGATGGGAGCTTTTCAATCTGAGGATGCTAGAATAGCAGACTGATGCCGTGGACTGCAGGTGTACATAGATTTGCAACAACGTGACTGAATAATCTTTTGGTCAGACCGAATTTGTCAAACAAACAGCATGGCTCTGTGTTTGCAGGGTCTGAAATGGTGTGGCATAACTTGGGATGAGGGCCCAGACATTGGTGGTGAGCATGGACCCTATCGCCAGTCCGAGCGCATCGAGGCCACAATTCAACGGCAGAATCCTGCAGGACATTCTTTGAGGCCATAGTTTCCAGTTTTCACATTGTCCAAACATTTGAGAGGCTGGAATTTACAAAGAGCAGTTGGAGAAGTTGATGGCGAATGGGCATGCCTACAGATGCTTCCTATCTCCTGAGGCTAAGTAGTTCTTCAAGTCACCACAAGACTGTGACATTGTTTGCAGCTTGCAGCAAGAACTGCCGAATTCAGAGGAACTGGACGAGATGAGGGCTGAAGCTGAGCGGAATGACCAGGCAATCCAAGATGCATTTGAAGGGCTTGCAGTAGGGCTGCCGCTTGGGAGGCCTTCTTTCTGCAGAGCCCATGGGCCAATGCATCTGATGAGGAGGTCCAGGCAACCGATGTTGACTCAAATTCAAATTGGAAGAGCAGAGAAGGAAGATAAGTTGAAGACAAAAACATGGACGACTTGAAAGAGTCTTTGTGCTCAAGCTTGTGTAAAGGCCATGATCGACCAGGGCAAGCCGTATGTCTACAGATTCAGGGTGCCCTTCGACAGGCAGCATGCGCGCCGTACTCTTCTTTACTACCCCTACTGCCAAGAAAGACATACTGTACTGTATTATATATTATGTAATATATATATATATCTTACTACTGGAAGGCGGGTCATGGACTCAACTACCCCCTTGCTACTACAAACAACAATGATGAATGATTTGCTTTCATTATTTGTCCTTTCCTTTTGGCATTAGACTTTTGACTCTTTGTTGGTTTCTATTCGTTGCCTTTTTTCAGACCTTAAGCCGTCCTTTTTTCTTTATATATATAGACAGCCTGTCTTTTATTTTCTTTCTTATCAAATGAGGTTCCATGTTTTCTGCCTAGTTTCCTTTCTTGGATTCTTTACTATGACCTTTGGGTTTGCCTTTTGCCTCAACAAAACCTCTACTTACATGTGCGTGCTGTCATTGACTTAACTCCCCCTTACTAATCCCAACAGGCATTTGGTTTTTACAAAAGCACAAGCGACAAACCAAGCAATTGTTCGAAACCAACAGTTCTTCCAGTTTGACGTCAATTTAACAAAAAATGCTCAGGGAGATTGTGGTTGATGACTTGGTCCTTGGAGAGGCACGACCTCAACGTGCAAGCACTTCTTTGGAGCTTGATATGGGCAATAGTAATCGCCTGTTGAAGGTTCACCACACAGTGTATAGGGATTTACTCTCATCAGAATTATGGTCAAGGCCCTTGTTACTCCAAAGTTTATCATTATCATTCATCATTGCAACAAATAGGATCTACCTGTGACACTAGCTGATCCAAGTGCTTGTGGTGTTGCATAGTGATGTCTCACACCGACTTGGACATAGCACATCCAAGTCTGACCCGTGAAGGTCATCTGGAATTCAGACGACCTCGGTGGTGACTTTGTCATCGTTCGTCAGAATGGTCTGACACTTACTTATCGTATGAAAAGGGGTTGTGTTTGCATTGGATTCTATTGCACAAAGTGTTACTAGTAGCTTCTTGCTACTAGTAGCGATGCACTTGTTACTAGCTTCACTATCTCTCCGTGACCTGGACGTTTTTGAGCCTGAGGCATGCCGATGTACAACTTTGGCGTTGTGGTGGACGATGCCTTCATGGGCATTTCGCACGTGCTCAGAGCTCAGGCGGGGCCTCTCATGTCAAATCACTTTGGGCCTAGTAGCGAAAAGGTCCTAGTAGCTTCTTGCTCCTAGTAGTACGGCCAGGAGCCCCTAGTAGCGTCCTTGCTCCTAGTAGCGATGCCCTTTGCTCCTAGTAGCGGGATTGCTCATTGATCACTTTGTGAATCATGTCGATTCACTTCGGTCACTTTTCGGGTTCGATCTCGGAGGAGCACCTCATGAACACACCTCGTCAAATCCTGATGTATGAAGCCTTGGATCTGAAGGTCAGGCTCATTTGTCATTTGCCTTTGGACGCATGTCCATACTAGATAATTCATGGAATTGAAGTGAGAGTAAGTAAGTAAGTAAATAAGTAAGTAAGTAAGTAAGTAAGTAAGTAATAAGGGCATTGCAGTAGAGTGATGCAGTCAGCAATCTCGGACAAGTCGAACAAGTAAGTATTTGGGGGTGCCCACACCTGCTGATCACATCAAAGAACATTTGGTTCCTTTCGAACAAAATAGACCCACCACATGAGCAACTTTTCAAGGGGTTCACCTCAGCGGTAGTGTATACATTAGTATATATATACCTTAAACCTCCGGTGGTTGCTTTTCTCAGCCTCTTAGCAGAGAGGCTCAAATGTTAGCCTCTCCATTCAAGAGTTGCCGCTTAGAACAAAAACTGCCTCTCGTGCTTTTCTGGTAGAAGGGAATCTTGTCATGTGTAATGTTTTTGGTGGTCTTCCGCTGCTGCTGCTGCCGACAGCTATCAACATGATATCAACATGATAAAAGATTATCGGTCAAACCCAAGCAAACAGACTTTCATCATGCTTGCTAGCAACTGCGTCCAAGCCCAGACCAGCCGTTTGAGTTTCATCATCAGGCAAGACGTAACTCTCCGAGGTGTTTGGCGTTTGGAGGTCTTTCAAGGCAGAGGTCATAGGAGTAGGCAGTTGCTGGATTTGCAACCTGAGCGCCTGCAACCGGCAGAAAACAAAGCTAACATGTTTAGCCAGGAAATGTTCAGACCAAAACACTGACTAGAGGTGAGTATCAATACCTATAGAAACGAACAGCCCCACCTGCGGTTGTTGCAGCTCTGACATCAGGGTTGCATCGTCACCATCAAGTTTGTCCACATCTTTCTCTTCTTTCACTAACGTCAAACCAGCCATCAGGGTCGAACTCGAAAAGACACGGGATGGAAGCTGATACGCCATTTCCCCTTTCGAGTAGAGACGAGCCTGAAAGCGGCAACCTGTCGACTTAATTAAATACTATGCCAAAAATTCATAACCCAGGAATTCCGCCTCTTACCCGGGAAGTTCCGCCTCTCGTTGTTTCACGTGTTTCATGGTTTTGCTTATGTTGCATGTTTTTCATGTGCTTTAATGTGTGTTTTCGTGTATTTTGCGTTTTTCATATGTTTCATGTGTTATTTTTTTCATGTGGCTCTCCTGTGCTTTCATGTTTTTAATGTGGCTTTCATATGTTTCATGTGTTTTCATGTATTTCAGGTTTTTCATGTGCTTTTCATGTGTTTCATGTTTTCATGTGTGTTTATCAAATTGCGCGATATCATGTTCATATTTGCAATTTTCCTTGCAAAAAAGACCCCCACAAGTCCGGTTGGACCTGCCTGAAATGCAGGTGTTGAAGGGGAAAGCCGGACTTGTGGGGGTCATTTTTCGCAGGCAACTCCAAATGGAAAATTAGCAGTTCATATATATCTATATATAGTTTCATGTTGTGTGCGCTCACTTTTCCACAGTGAGTTATCGTGCCTTCATGTGTTTCACGGTTTATCATGCTTGAACCTTTTGAATGCATATAACTTATGTTTGGTTCATGGTTCGGGGTTTGTGGTGTTTTTCCTATATGTTAAGTGTATAAGTTTCATTGTTATCACGGTTATCATATGTTCTATAACATAACTGGGGAGAAATCTATGTAACACAAGAATCGCCTCTTGCAAAAAAAATTGCCTCTCAGTTCCTAGAGGCGCCTTCTAGATTGGAGGCGCAAAAAGTGCAGCCCTAGGAAGATTCAGGTATATATATATATATATAGATTACGAAGCCAGCCGATAGGCTAGGCTTGAGCTCTTAGGCCGAACGAAGTGAGTCGAGGGGTTGGGGGGGGTAGGCCGCGTAAAGGCACCATTTGAGAGGGTGAACCCGGAGCTTGCCTGGGGAGAGCGCTCCAAAGCGAGGTTCAGAAAAGCAGTGAAAATGGGGTCTGGTGATGGACGCCGAGTAGTACATCATTAGCATCACGAGGGCTGTGGAGGCTATTTGGACAATGGGCATTGAGCACTGGAGTGGAGACAGGCATCCATGTACAGAGCAACCATCCTAGTCTCTACTAATTATACCTGTACCGTCGAGCGGATGCTTCTCGCGGCGTCCACGTGCACCGAACGTTGTTCCGGCTTGGCCGCGCAGCTAGATAGATACAGAATAGATAGATCGATAGATAGATAGATACTGGTTGTATGTATTGGCGCAAGTATGGTTGTTGGTTGGCATCACTATCAGAACAGGGGCCCGTGTAGATAGCAACTTGGTGGCGTGAAGAACTTGCTGCTTAAGGATTGGTTATAGTAACGGATCTATGCCATATGTTTAGATCACGGTTGGTGACACCAATGCTGAGACATATAGTTCCTGCCATCCTCCTAGTCATCCTGTCAGAGAAGTCTCCTTGGATGTATTGGGGCAAGTGTGGTAATTGGTTGGCAGCGACAAGTTGCTATCAGAAAGGATCCCCTGTAGATAGCAACTTCTTTGTGTTTGATGTCTCTGTTTTTTATGACTCTGTGTCTCTATGTCTCTATGGTTCTGTGTCTCTATGTCTCTGGGAAGAGGGTGTAGCTGCGACGTATGCTTATTTTTTGGGCGGATCAGTGGCATAAGCCCAAGGAAAGTCCCCAACAGCAAGAAGCGCCACTGAGACACTTTCTTCGCTGTCCAAGCCCTCCTCTGGAGCCTTGTGTGCTTTGGAACCTGCTCCGGAACCTTCTCCAGAACCTCCTTCCTCATGGACCTGCCCCGCAACCTTCTCCCGAACCTTTTGCTATGTAGCAAATGACCCTCTCGTCTGGCGGCTGCTGGCTTTCGTTCCCCCCCCATATGTGCATGTGGAATATTGTCAGAGATTTAGACTTCAGACAAACCATGGAAAACGATACCAGCACATGTGAAACGATACCTGTTTCAGGGGAGTTGCATGTGCATCGAGATGCTGAATTGGTTGCTGCTATTTCCAAGCTATGAAGCACATTGTATGGACTGAGACTAGGATGACTAGGCTTGTGTTCTTTCAAAATGGCCAAGTATTGTTCTGCATTTTGGCGTTCCAAAATGATTTGCTGATATGCTGGCGCGAAGAATAAAATTCTACCAAACCGATACCGAAAAGGATGCCCAAACCTACGAACACTTGCTTTGCTAGACCCTGGCGCAGATGCACTATACTTTAGAGTGGAAGACGCGACAGTGACATTCGCTTGTAAAAAGCAAGAGGTTGCTGTTATTTCTTTGGGTAAAATGTGATGTAGTAATTGATGTTCCGTGGAAAACGATACCGGAACATAAATCATATATATACTTGTATATTGCCATTCCATTGGTTCACACAATAGTGTTTTTTCATTATCGCTCACATGGACCTGTCAGAGAAACTACTTTGAGACTCCTGATTCTATTCTGACAAAAACGCACTGAATGGGCGTTTTGGCCAGGTTGTCCGCCTTGACTTCCAAACGGTAAGGAATGTGCTGACACTTGAGTTTGGCCACCCTTCTTTTGAGGAGTTAGACCTCTTTTCCTGTGAACACATTGCAGAATTGGTTAAACCGGGTTGGGGTGGTTTAGAACTGGACAGCCGAGTAAAGCGAAAGACACAGGTGGCAGCCTGCATTCACCCGACAAAAGGTATCATGTCGTGGTCTTGCCCTGTTGTAATAGCTATTGGTACAATATATATATATATAGATTACTACGGATATCTGAAAAGAAAACATGTAAGGGCACCTGTGAATGAGGCGTTTAAAGGGGTGCCCCACCTTAGTTTTGCACACCCTTCGTTCATATCACCACTCTATGATATGCACAGTTCCCATGGTTTTATGGGCCAGGCACGTTGAATGTACACTGGATTCTCACCACTCGTGATTGTCCTTCTGTTTGACAGAATTTTTTACTAAACCAGCTTTCACCCCAACTTGTTATCTAAAAGCCTCCTCCCATCTCATCCGTCCTCCATGCCTCCTCCCATCTCATCTGTCCCTGGTGAGTTTGGAGCTCAAAATGTCTCACCACTGCGCCTGTCCTGTTCCCAACTTCTAAACTGGCTGGAGTTCGCTTGTCGTGACATCACATTACCACAACTCTTCTCATGTCAGCCCAGCTCATCTCGGGTTAGCCTATTTTTGCGCGGCTCACCTCAACTCATTGCATCTCTGCCTCCATACCAGCATGTTGTAGACCCCCGGTCGGGCCTCATGTGCAGAAAAAGGATGAATAAGGCAAATGGCAAATGAATTGTGTACGTCAAAGCGGTTGTGCATGGTAAAGACGCTGATGTGCCAACAACTCTGGACGCAGGTCCCAACCTTCGGGCACATGCCCCTGATTTTGGCTCCGGACTTTTGCAAAGTGCTTGTTGTATTGATGACACATGTTGCTTGTGGCATGTAGTGATTTTAGACAAGTCGCATGTGGGTCCCTGTGGTTTGGCAGGATCGAACAAAGCTGTCGAAACGACATGGGGCTGTCTCCGTCGGTGAGTCTGAGCCCTATGGCCCTATGTCTTTGAAAAGAAGGTGTTTGGGCCCCTTTAAAGGGTTCCTTATTAAAGGCTTCTTTCGTTCATCGCCTTTTTCTAGTTATATGTTCTTTAACTTTATATTACACTCGGGTGTACTTGTTTCACATTACTGTATGCTGTTCTTGTTTTGTTCTCTCTCTTTTCTAGACCCTTCCTTGCCTCCGTGGGTGAGTCCGAGCTTGTTTGCAGAGATTCTTCATTGGGGATGAGACTGTCTACAGGTATCAGAACCGTGGTTACTTGGCATCGGGCATGGTCCCGTCCTGAAATCTTGAGAACCTAAACAATGAAAAACCTGGTTGGAGAACTGTGGACACGCCTTTCTGTCAGGTCAACTACTTATCCCAGCTTGGATGGAATGATGGGACCAAGCAGGCCCGGCAATGGCCTGGCCTGAATACAGGATGTGGCATAGGCCTTCTTCATTCCGCTTGGTAGCATGTTGGACATCGCCGGAGTCCCATGCTTTGCAGCACTTGCCCTAGAGCAGGAAATCTACACCACCGACGAGTTGCTTGGCGCCTTCAAGATGGATCGCATGAGCAAGGTTCCGTGGTGTGCTGGAAAGTTTGAGAATTGTCACCGGCTATTCAATTAAAAGCGATGGCCTCCAACTATTCAATTACAAGATATTCGTAATTACAAGATATTATTCGTAAGATCTATAGTAATTTAGGTCTCGACATTTGTTTGCCCAAGTGCTTTGATCTGCGAATTCTAACCCCCTTGGATCCCCCTGAAGGACCTGCTACTTATATATATATATATATTTGTTTTTTAACTTAGAAGCTGCAGGTGGAGACGTTTCGTTCATGTTAAACTCACAAGTGTCATAAGAATTAGTCAGCCTGTTCATATCTGACGGGAGACAATGAATTGAATGTCCCATCCGGTGCATCTTTAGGTGGCCGCAATCTTTGACACCGACAAGTTCAAGTGGGTGAATGGACATCATGTCAGAAGATTGAGTGATGAGGAGGCGCAGATGAAAGCTGTAACACGTCAAACCATGCGGGACCATGACTGTTCTAGAAGAAGAGAAATAATATAATAATGAGATGATAAAATAAATGTAAGGGCCATTTCAACAAGGCTCCTAGGAACAAGAAGCTACTAGGAACAAAGGGCATCGCGACTAGGAGCAAGAAGCTACTGGGAACCAAATCATTAAGGCTCAGGCTTCTTGAAGGAAGCTCCGCCCTGCCCTCAGCGGGGGGAGCTTCCTTGAAGAAGCCTGAACCCTAGCTGTGCGTCCAAGATACTAGTAGCTATTTCATAGCTACTTGTAAGCCCGCCCTAGTGGCCTACCCGCCAAGTATATACTACAGCATATTTTTCATCTCATTGTCTCTTCCTGTTTCTCATCCTTTCCTGTTCACTGTAGGCTCTTCAGCTCATTGGCTCACAATTGAAGGAGCATGGGCTTGTGAAAGAGGACAGGGTCTTACCGTGTTTAAATTACATATCAAGGCTTTAAGTCTCTTCGAGTCTCCGGGCCATGTTGTTCTTCAAAGACAGGTCTCTGGAGACTTTGTCAAGAAAGCCTCCCAACTGTCAACGCCCTCAGACATCAAGTCTTCACAAATCCATTTCAAACGAATCGACCAAGGCTGCGAGAGAGAATTAGCACTCTGACGGAAGCTGTTGAGGCTTGTTTTGATTATGTTTGATTCAAACTCCCGGCAGCAGATGCTGGGGTAGTCTTCCTTTCCTGAAGAGGAGTTGCGAGCAATGCTGCACTTCGATCTGGAGGACATGGGCCGTTCACCACATCGGTGCATAGATGGTCATAGATGCACGCTGAATGCACTTGCAGGAAATGCTGACTCAAGACGTGGCTCAGCCATATATCGAAGACGGTTCCCTGCAAGAGACAGCAAAACTGCTTCTGGATGCACAGGCCTGCCATTGTACCTTTCCTCCGCTTGTTACCTCACAACAGAACTAAACACAGTGAGGGCGAAGCAAATTGAGTTGTGCGTTGCATTGTGAGGGTGTGGCAGTGCTGTGTTGGTGAGTGAACCGAACAGGAGGAAGGACGATTCGATTCCATTGGGTCAGATCCCGAGGCAGGGAGCTTGGGACTCCGACGGCATCATATGGCATGGATCCGCAGAATCCGCATGTTGTGTAGAACACAGGTTCCCAGGTTCTAGCCTTGTGTTGCATTCCTCTGAATGGTTGTCCAGGCAATGAAGAATGTAGTGAAGCAGATCAAGAAGGCCTGCCAGATTGTGCTGCACACAGACTAGTTCCGTTGGCGATGCTGGAAGCGTCAGACAGGCAAGAGGAGATGTGAAAAAGAAGGCTCTCCTTGTCCCTTTGCGTTTCATCCTCAGCTTTAATAATCATCATACATCATCATACTATGACCATCCAGGACCCGATAACCCGTGGTTTTGGCAATCGAACACGGAGAAGTGTACTCTGAAGCCAAGGTCTTTGCTTGACTTCCAAATCCTCGGGTTGGGTCCTTAATGGCGAAGGAAGCGATTTCGCAAATCGGCTTGGCTTGGAATCATAGCTTACCAGCTTGCATAGCTATGCATAGCTTGCGAGGTCCAGACATGACTGTTTTTTTCGAGATGTTGAAGGAAGTGGACGACAACGTTCTTTGCGAATGTGCACGGGCCTGAGATTCGCAGCTTGAAGAATTGCAGTACACAAATGTGTCCTTGCACAGTTTCAGTTTCAAGGTATCCTTGGAAAAGAGACTGCAAATGCTGAAGGAGAAGCAACGGCCTCATTCAGAATCATCCAGTCTACAAATGCGTTTGTTAATTTGTTGGCATGGCTTTGGCGTTTGCACACTCAGGTTTTTAGAGCAGCCGGTGCATGCCAGCTTGTACCCCAGCCCGCCAGAAGTATCGCAATGTCAAACTCGCTCCAACAAGCTCTAGCCCAGCCAGTGTTTTCTCAGGCTGAAGCTTCGACTTTTGGCTTCGAAAGAAAAACGATGCTGCGCCATGTATAGCAGCTGAAAGCCTGCTTCAATCTGCCTGCGGTTCCGAAGCTTTCGGGGAAGGCATCGCTCTTCGCCTGATTGAGCATCTTCTCACAGCAATGCATGTCTCACCCAACATGCTTTTCTCAGCTCCGAGAGCTTCAAATTAACAAAGGGCATCGCTACTAGTAACAAGAAGCTACTAGTGGCTCCTGGCATTACTACTAGGAACAAGGACACTACTAGGCTTTCCAGTTTCAAGAAACACACGTCACACAAAGCATGAAGCAGCACCAAGAAGCATACTGTAGCAAGTGCACTGAAGCGGGGCGAGTGTCAATGAACATCTTGAGCAGTGAGCCCAGTTTGACTGAGAATGTATAAGATCTTTTGGGAAGTAGTTCCTGGCATGGTGCCTACAATAAGAGCATTGAATTGCATTCCCACTTGGGCTTTTATATAGTTGCCCCTGCATATGGGGCCAGCATTGATTACAAACACTTTTCAAATGCAGACGTGTTAGCAGCTAAGCAAGGCTTTGCCGGACATGGCTTTTGCAAATGCTGAGGCCTGAAACAAATTCATCGAATCAACTTGTCTTGACACACTTTGTGCAATCCTTTCCACTCAAACGGTAGGCCTGCTTTGCCAAAGGATGGGCGCGGGGCCCTGTGTGTGTGATTCTGCCTATGGCTGTTTAGGGCAGCGTGGCACTTGTTTCTAATAGCAAACATTGTTACTACTAGTAAGGCACCTGTTACTACTAGCGTGGCACTTGTTTCTACTGCCTTTGGTCTGAAGATGTGAAAAACTATCAGGGCAACTCATGCATGCTATCTTGATCGGTGAGTGGGTGGGGCAGGACAACACGATGCCCTGTAGGCCTTGCTTATATTTAAAGGCATACGCCTGACAGCCAGGCGCTGGTGAGGAGGAGGAAGAGGGAGGTGAAGGAAGAAGGTCAGGAGGAAATGGCTGATTCTTGTTCTTGTTGTTTGTTGTTGCTATGGTTGTGGTGGTTGTGATGGTGGTCTTGCTCGTGCTCTTGCTCTTGTCGTCGTCGTCGTGGTTGTTGGTCTTGTTGTTGTTGTTGCTGCTGCTGGCCTGCACCAGCTGGCGGCGTCTGGTGTTGGGCTTCAACTTGTCTGTCCAGATCCAATTGCCGCAGCAGTGCCTTTGCACACAGCACAGCACCATGTGGAAGCGCTGCATTCCTGAGAGGGTCCTGAAGTCGAGGCTGCAGGCACAGATCAGAGCACAGACCTTGAGCATGCCGTTGAAGTGAAGGATACAGTGATGAAGCACCAATGCCAGAGATGAGGTCCAGGAGGTTGAGGCACCGCTCAAGCAGTGCAGCAGGAAGAGATGCCGGTGTCCTTATCCTCCGCTACTACGGGCAAAGAAAAGGTACCGGTGAATCTTAGTGGCGGTGGTGGTACTCTGGGTGACCTCGCTGCGGGCTGCACACTAGCAGGTCTTTATGAGGCTGCCTCCTTGAGACCTTAAATGTTGAGCCATGTATGTGTGTAGGTATGGTATGGTATGGTATGGTGTGGTATGGTATGGTATGTATGGTATGTATGGTATGTATGGTATGGTATGGTGTGGTATGGTATGGTCCGTTATGGTGTGGTATGGTATGGTATGTTATGTATGTATGTATGTATGTATGTATGTATGTATGTATTTTTTTCCTAAAGGAGACCTTTTCTGTGTTGAACGAAGGCCGTATTGGCCTGGGCCGCAGCTGCCAGCGCGCTCGCCGCGTAGGAGCCGGTTTAGAAGTAGTCGACTTGCATTGCTCCATCCGAGGTTGGGCTTTCCTCCTCCCCACACTCTTGACTGCTGGAAGACCCGGCAGCCTGGGGACGGGAGTCGTTGAGTTGCCCTGGTGGCAGGCTGTCGACAGCTGGGCGAAGGTGCATCGCCTGTGTCGGATGACTTGTGCCAGCTTGCTCAAGGGCAGAGTCAGTTGGATAGAGCTGGTTGGCTGCCTCCTGTTCATCCAGTGCGGTTGGAAAGTGCAGCCGCCTAGGTGTGGGGCCGGTGTGGCTTTCCTGGTCGGCTGGTGTTGACGCTTGACTTGGGCCATCATTCTTCTTCTTGAAGAATTCACTGATGGGTGGAGAGCCCTTGCCACTTGCCCCTCTGCAGGCCTTGGTGAGGTGCTGGTTGGAGATGATGCGGCGTTCACCGTCAAGGCTCCATTGGCTGCCACATGTGGTGCATCTCACCTTTTCACCCTTCTGCCAGAGGCTGTGACTAGGATGGGCTTGGGATGTTTGTGTGAACTGCTCATCAATGCATCTGGATGAGATGAAGGTATGAAAAGCATCCTCGTTCACCCTTTTGTGGGTGTTGACCCCACACTTGAGGCATTTGAGATAGCCAGTGGTCTCAGCAAAGTGATGGTCTGAGGGACCTGGCGGCTGTTGCTGTTGCTGGTTCAAGAGGTTCTTGATGGTCTGGGCCCTGGTTTGCTTCTTGGCCGGTGGGTCTGCCTGGGCTGGGGTGGCCTGGACTTGCGCGAGGAGGACTTGTGGGCAACATTCTTGGAGGCGCTCTTCAAGTATGGTCTTGGTGAGGCCTTGATGCATCCGGGTGCCACAGGCAACACACTGGTATCCGCTTCGGTGGGGCTCCCATCTGTGGTGTGTGTCATCCCAGGCTTTGGTGCATTGCTTCACCAGGTCTCGCTTGTATTGCTTCGTTTGCTTGCCCTGGTGTCGCGGGGCCTTGTGATGGATGTAGTGTTGTGGGTCTTCGTAGATCTTGGCCAGCCTCTGCACTGCATGCTTGTACACCAGCTGGTGATCGTTGTCGAGGACTTGCTGCCACTCCTCAAGTTTGTGGTCTTGAAACTGCTTGGCCCTCTCCCACGCCGTGAGGGCTGCATCTCGCTGTCTGCGTCTGAGCTGGGGCTCATTGCCGGGGGCCTCTGGTGTACGTGTGGCCTTGCTGACGTACAGGACCGTGATGCGACTAAAGTCCTGCTCCGTGACTTCTTCGAGGATGTCACTGAAGGGTGCCCGGCTCTTGGGCTGATGCCATGCTTCCCAGACAGTGGCCAGCTGGACGATGACTTTGGCTGAGGTTGTGTGTGCTTGGCCAGGGCAACAACCCCTGCCAAGAGGGCTCGGGCTTTTGTTTGTGCTCCAGTGGCCACTCCCGTGATGGCGCCAAGCCGATTGAGCTGTCCCAAGCTCATGGTGTGGATGCAGAGCCCATAAACCCACATCTGGTTGCGTTCATCATAGGAAGAAGGCGTGGCATCAAGGGTGTAGGCCCATCCAAAGGTGTCAGGTCAGCCCAGCATCCATGGCCTTGATGTGGATGCTCGTGGGTGCGATGTTCCTGGGGCTCTAACGGAATCCAGCCTGCTGTCCAAAGAGGCTCTTCATCCTTGGACGTGATGCGCTCCATCCATTCTGTCGGCATTGGATCATGTTTTTGGGTTTTGTGGCAGTTGCACAACCAGAGAATGTGCTTGGGTGTGGCCTCCACGTGGCAGAGGGGGCATTCCTTGATCTTGGTAGCCTCCCTGTACTGCACTGCTGCTTGGACCCATGTGTTGAGGTAGTGCTTGCTCTGGGCCGGAAGCTTGTTCTTGACAGCATGGTAGGTGTGCCAGTCGATGCCTGTGACCAGATTGTGATAGTGTGGTTTGCTGGCAAGTCTGTTGATGCGTTGGTTCTTGGCTTCCTGGAGGATGACCTTCTCGAGTTTCCACCAAGGCTGTTGCAGGTCAAGTTCATTACCCATCGTCAGTGGTGTCTCTGGGCGGGTCCATCTCAGGAGTGTGCTTGCCTGCCATCCCCATTCTCGTAGATGGGTGATGGCCGCCGCCATAGGGCCCTGACTGTATACCACGGGTGGGGTTTGTTCTGCAATTGGCTGAAAGTGGCCTCCCAGGCCTGCTCCAGTGCAGCCATCTGGTCTTCGGGCCAGGCTTGGATGAGGCTATGTATGGCTTTGATGTGGTGCAGGACTACCTGATCGCCTGGGTCAATGTACTTCTTGTGGTGAAGATCATAGGTGCTGTCCAGCAATCCACCAGTGTGGTGCCCCAAGTGTTTGGCCATGGCCTGTCGGAGGGGGGTTCTGTAGCGTGGTGCCAGGCCTTGTCCTTCCACTCCCCACAGAGCAGCCGGCTGAATGCCCCCTCGGTGAAGGCGTAACCTGATCTTGAGGGCCGGGATCCGTAGTGTTCGAAGCTTGATCTTTCTGTTGTGTGCTTTGGTGAGTCGGTGCTTCATCACTGGGATTCGTCGTCTTGCTCCTTGGTGGTCAACTCCCAAGTCCCTCATGACCGTTTGGATTGGAGGATCATCCGGTGTCAACAGCTCTCGTAGGGCCTTGTCAGTGTGTTTGTCGGTGGTGATGAAGGCCGTTTTCTGTGGGTTGACCTTGAGGGCGAGGTGAACCAATCTCTCATGCAGGTCTCGGTATGCCTGGACTGCCTTTTTGGCCACTGTCATCGGAGTTGAGCCCGCCAGATCAAAGCCAACATCATCAACCCAGCTGGAGAGATGAGCTTCAGGATGACTGGATTTCCACGGCTGGAGTGCTGGTGCCAGGACGGCCTTGGCCAACAATGGTGCCTGAGGGCAGCCTGCTGGAACTCCATTCTGCACGTGGAAAAATGGTGTCATCTCTTGCTCAGCAACAATTGCTTTGGGTCCGGTGTAAAGCTGCATGGCCATCTCCAGCATCAGCGGCGGGTAGTTGAGTTGCCGTGCTTCTTGTTGCAGTCTGGTGAGGTTGATGGTATCATAGAACGTTGACATGTCCATCAGGCATGTGATGCCATGGCGACCATTTGCTCTTTGGACTTCCTGTCTCAGCAAGCGTTCAAGGGCTACCTGCAAGACGTGTGCCCCAGGTCGTGCTCTGTCATGGTCCATGGTTGTGGGAAGCTGTTTCTGCCATTGGTCCAGTAACGGTTTCCTCAGTCTGCACCAAACGCGGTACAGCAGGGAGGTGAGCGTGATGGGGCGCTCCTTGGTGCTGGATTTGGGCAGCATGATGACCATGTGCATCTGCTCCTGGGTAATTAACTGGGCTTGCTTCTCCATCTCTTGAAAAAGATGGAGGAGTGGCGGAAGGGCCAGTGGTGGTGCTGCTCGAAGGAGTTGGGCTGTGATGGCGTCTGGGCCACATGCCTTGTCTGGCAAGTGCTTGAGGGTCCAAGCCAGCTGACCTATGGTCAAAGGTTCAAGCTGTTGTGCTTGCTGCCTGGCTGCATCTTGTAAGCTGGGCCTCTCATGTGGTTGATCACTCTGCCGAATCTGCCACAGCTGTCCCCAGTCATGAAGTCGTTGTGTCATTCTGTCCTCTGGTGGAAGCTGCCTATAGGGTCTTTCCCAGGCCAGCTCACTGCTTTTTAGGCTGCGGAAAAGTCCTTTGAGCCCTTTTGCTTCGCTCTGCTTCAGCCATGCTTTGTATTGGAGATGGCCTTCGTCGTTGGCTGCTTGTTGTGCTGCTTGAAGTTGGTGCTCAAGGGTGTGGAGAACCAGGTCGGCAGCATGTGGATCCCGGTATTTGAGCCAGTGGTATGTATGTGTGTATGTATGTATGTATGTATGTATGTATGTATGTATGTATGTATGT